CTCTTGAGAGTCCCCTGGACTGCAAGGAGAACAAACCTATCCATTCTAAAGGAAATCAACCCTGAGTGCTCACTGGAAGGACAGATCCTGAAGCTGAGGATCCAGTAATTTGGCCATCTCATGAGAAGAGAAGACTCTCTGGAAAAGACCCTGATGTTGGGAAAGTGTGAAGGCAAGAGAAGGGGACGACCGAGGATGAGATGGTTGGACAGTGTCTGCGAAGCTACCAACATGAATTTGACCCAGCTCCGGGAGGCAGTGGAAGACAGGAGGGCCTAGTGTGCTCTGGTCCATGGGGTTATGAAAAATCAGACATGACTAAACAGCAAAAATATCATTAAAAAGGTGAGCTTGTAGGTCCTTCATAATGGATGTTACAGAACGTGAAATGTTTTAATCTATTGTGTATTGCTTTGGGAGCCATGATGAGCAGAAATTGATTAAATAAATGCTATAAGTAAATAAAGGAGAGAAAAGAAAAGCAAAATCCAAAGATTATTAATTAAGATATAAGAGTTCAAAGTAAAATACTGAAGCTTTGTGTAACTTTTAAGAATGTGCTTAAGAATTATTCCTGAAACAACTTGTAATCAATAAACCTGTTTCTGTTAAAAAGTCAGTGCTGGATGGACATTAGTCTTTCCTAAGAAATATAAGTTGATAAGGTGATCAACTGGTGGCGGCGTCTTGGGATACTTTCCTGAGCTCTGTGTTTGGTGGAACAAGTAGGGGCCACGGGGCAAATGTTACACCCTTTATTGTAAAAACAAGATTAAATCAAGGTGGTTGAAGCTTCCTAGTTTCATACATAATGTATGCTCTCTAAAGTATGTTAATTTGGAATTTTTAAAGTACCAATGAATATGTGAATAGAGATGGCCTGGTATGTAGAGATTTGTAGTTAACTACAGCAGTGGTTGCCAAGTTTGGGTCTCCAGATGTTCTTGGACTGCAACTCCCAGAAGTCCTTGTAAGCATAAGAATGTCTGGGGCCCCAAGATTGGGGATTACTGAACTACAGGGCATTAAGTAGTGAATCTTTCAGTGGAGACAGGTAAATATCAGGCTTCTCCAAGGATCTGTTATGAAGGCTAGTGCTTTTTAAACATAAACACTTGAGAGTTAGGCTTAAGCAATAAAGTAGTAACTGAATAGTTTGTTGGTTAGAACAAAAACTGACAGCAAAGAGCCTCACAAGGATCTCTTAGTTTCAGGCATGGGTATGAAAAGGGCAAATAAAGCTGATTGTAAGCAAAGGTTAAAAAATAGATATTAGGCGAAAAATCCCAACATCTGTTTAATTAATCAATATACCACTTTACTGTATCTGAAATATCTTGATGATCTCTTTGATGAACTAGGTATCTCCAACCTTACATATACATTGGTAGAATCTGAGCTAGTTTTGGCGAACCAAGAAAGAGATTTTAGCCTTGTGCAGTGAAGATCTCAAGCCTAAATGTTGCTGCTATTTTAAAAAGGCAGATTCTATGTTGGGTGACATTGAAAAAGAAAAGGGACACTGCCCAGATACAAATTAATAATATGTGATCATAACTGAAATACTGCATATAGTTTTGGTCATCACATCTGACAAAAGTGGACTGTAACGCTGGAAAAATTCTGAAAAAGGCAATCAAAACCACCAAGGGACAGAGGAAAATTCTGTGAGGAAATATTACATTTGCTGCTCTTTAGCTTAGGAAAACAAAACAAAACAAAGATGTGGAGAAAGTGAATAGAGAGATTTCGCTCTCTTCCATATTAGAATTCAGGCTCTTATCTGTACTTGGTCTCCCCCTAGTTTCAGTGGATGGGCCTGCATTCTAATATGGAAGAGAAAGTAGTTCTTCTGAAGTTATCTGTGCAATTCGCTACCACAAGATGTAGTAAAGGATGCCAAAGGCCATTTAAAAAATTCATGGTGAATAAAGGCTCCCAGTGGCTACTAATTATGAAACATATACACTCCCTTCAGTAGCAGAGATTTTATTCTTACTTATAGCAGTCGCTAGGGAAACAATCATGAGGATGCCATTATGCTCATATCCTACTTTAGATTTTTCATAGGTAATTGGAGGGTCACAACTGGAACAAAATTATGGATAAAATTGGTCTTTGGCCCTTAAGTTGTTTCCTTTTCAGAACAATTGCTTTCTAATGTATGATCTCTTCAACATCTCAACATTCAGAGCCATCAGAGGCTATCAGGCAGGATGGCTATGTATAGTCTCCAGTACCGGAGGCAGTATGCCTCTGTATGTCAATTATTGGAGAATGTGGTACAGAGGGTGCAGTTGCATTTTACATCCTTCTGACGGGCTTCCTGAAGTCAACTGGTTGGCTACCATGTGAACTAACTATTAGATTATGTAGGACTTTCATCTGACCCACCCTGGCCATTTATGTTCTTACAGAGATTTATTGGTTTGGTATTAGACTTCTTGTACACAGTGGTGCCTCGACTTACGAATGTCCCAACTTATGACCAATTTGAGTTATCAGCTCTGGCCGCAAAATTTTGCTTTGACCTGCAGCCGGAGTTTTGATTTACAATCGGAAAAAAGGCAGGGAAAAAGGTGGGGAATTCAAATTGCTAACTGTTGGTGGCGAAGAGGCTTATTTTTTGTAGCTCTTTCGCTCCAGCTGCTAGAGTGTGCATTCAGAGGCGGCTTTGGACTGCCCGATAAGGTGCTGCTTTCTGCTTTTTAAAAACTGCCTGTTCTAGGTGGGTTTTGCAGCGTAGTTTTGGGCTGGAGTGGTTATGTTTCTGTGCTGTGATGGGTCTTGCAGTCTTTGTTTTTTGGGGTTTTTTGTTCGCGTTTTTGATGGGTCTTGCAGGTTTTTTTTTTTGCATTTCTGATGGGTCTTAGGGGTTTTTTTTTGCTTTTTGGGTTTTTTTTATTTGCATTTCCAATGGGTCTTGCAGTTTTTTTTTTGCTTTTTTGGGTTTTTTTATTTGCATTTCCAATGAATCTTGCAGGGTTTGTTTGCTTTTTGTTTTTCTTTTCTTTTTGCATTTCCAATGAATCTTGCAGGGTTTGTTTGCTTTTTGGTTTTTTCCCTTTGGCCGGAATGGATTAATTGCGTTTCCAATGGGCCTTACAGTGTTTTGTTTTGTGATGATTTTTTTTTCTGGCCGGAATGGATTAATTGCGTTTCAGTGCGTTCCTATGGGAAATGGTGCTTTGACTTACGTCCATCTTCTGGAACGGATTAAGTTTATAAGTCGAGGCACCACTGTATTTGTAAACTGCAAGTATGCTGGCTTTATTTTAATACAGGTTAGCCATCAGAAGCACTGAATTCATACAAAAAAACCCCACCTTACTAAAATACAGTGACCTTCAAAGAAATAAGTTATATGTTACATGAAATTTGCTACTGCTTGTTACGATTTCATACATTTTTATTTTGGAATAAATGAGATAATGCTTCCAGATAGCTCTACATCTTGGGTATCAAACACAATTGGTATAAATTCTTTTTCCACTATCTGTTCTACTGCTTCTCATCAATTTCTTTTCAAGAGGTATTGTACCTAATACTTTAAATTGACTGGGGTGCAAATTACTGCATCTGAAATAAGGTAGATGGTCTCTTTCTAGGACGTTATTAGAAAGATTTGGCATGCTGTATGCCTTAAATTTCTCAAGAAGCCAAACTTGTTGTGGATGAGTCGGCACATCCAACCAGTCACTTCAGTGAACAATGTCAAAACTAAACACAGACCTGTGGTCTATGTTTGGTTTAACACGAGTTTGAATGTGGCAGGAGCTGGAACTCTGGCTTGTTTCTCTTTTCCACATCTGAGTACACACAGTGGCCAAAATCCTGTTGCTTAGAATAGTATTTATTTTATTTATATCCTGCGTATCTGGTCTTACGATCACTCTAGGCGGCTAAAATAGTAAAATTGCTTAGAGTAGGCCCACCGAATCAATGAGAATTTGGTGAGTCAGCTCTATGCTAAAGTCACAGAGTTACTCCCATTTGAATCAATGGAACTTACAGAAGTCAGCTCACCAAATCATCACTAATACAGTGAAGCCACTACAGTGCCTCTCTCATTCTTTAATTAATACTTAAAATTTATTATTGTTTTATTTAACTATATCTACACAAATCAAGCCTGAATTTCTTGCTATATTTAGCATCTGCCTTCTGAAGTATACTTTTCAGGTAAAAAACCTGCTCATTTTGATGTACTTTATAGCATGAATAATTTTTACCCATAAGCAGAATCAAATTTTTGATGTAAACCTCAAGATACTCAACACAACAGTATAGCCTTGAATTAAATAAATGTAACTCTGATTAAAACAACATTGACTATTCACCCTAAGGTAGTTCATACAGTATCAATCAAGGATCCCTCTAAGGTGCATGACTGCGTGTGTGTGACTCCACCTCCCCCCGCACAGCTTTCCTCCTCCTCCGCACAACCCCTTTGTTTCCAATCACAATGGAACCCCTGTGGGGCGGAGTTGTGCATGCACACAGGGGAGAAGGCGTATATGAAAGAAGTGGAGCCCTGTCCAGCAGGGCTGAAAATTAGAGGGTACGTTGCTATCAATGTATTCTGCATGATACCAGCATCTTTGCACTCTAATGAGTTAAATTACAGAATGTTCTGGTAGCCACACTGTATTATCAATGAAAATACATTTATGCTTCTGACATTTGGATGCCAAGACTTTGTAAAAAAACCAAATCAACCTAAGATGTAAAAGCAAGTTGGTTAATACTTTCTAAGTTACCATCTAGCACACAGTGGCTGAAATCCAGTAGATTTCAACTAGGCCCATTGAACCAATAGAACTTGGGAGTTGACTCACCAAATCCCTAGTAATTCTAGCTATGACAGTAAGATTTCAGCCAGTGTTGTATTTTTTAAAAAGCTAACGGCTAGATGCATTCTCATAAACTGTTATTTGTTGATGAGCTGTAGTAGGGATCAAAATATAATCTCATACTGCTTTTTGTAATTCGTTCACAAAACAGATACTTTTGTCTAAAGATCCAAATAACATTTTCTATTCAGCCCCCAAAATACCAAAACAATTAAAAACCAACAGTAGTGATCCAAAGAATAGTTTTAGGCATAAGCTGCAACTTATGGACGTGCACTGGGCATTCTCTCATCTCTGCCCCACAGCATTTTCCATTTTTGCACTGAAATCCATATGTGTAATTCTCTTAACTTTTGAAGATACTAATGAAGTCTGCAGCTGTAACAAGAGTTCTAAAACACAAGCCAAACTTGCCTTACACCCCACTGGATTATAGACAGTATTTTCAGAGGACAGTTTCTACATTTGATTACAAGTTACGTGGAGTCTTATTTACAAAGAGCAAATTTGTGCCTGAGGGGAAAAAATCCAGAAGAAAGTACAAAAACAAGTTCATGTCAGTTCTGTGGAAATATTTATGCAAAGTTGTTAATTTTCTCCTTGTAGCATTTCCTCTATTTCTTTGTCCCAGTTTTCATCTCGCTTTTCTGACTCTGTCACTACTTCATATTCTTGAAGCTCTTGTTGTAGCTCTTTTTCCCAGTCTGCAGTTTCCTCTAAATATGAAAGAAAATACCAATATTTACAGCTTGGAATAAAAATGGGTTATGGAAGTTACTTGAAGCTAAATTCAAGATATACCGCAATATTTTGTGATGAAAATATGGCCTGGTTTACACATGTAGAATGAGACGGTACCATGGACTTCAAATGCAGCAAGAGAAATCTCTCTACCCCCCTTAAATATTCCTCTCTTGAAGAAATGCCTCCAAATAGGATATCAGTATACTAAGAACTGTGCTAAAATCTCATCCTCTAATTCATTTGCAAGGTGTTTTTTTAAAACAATGCAGCAGCATTCAGAAGCTTGCCTGCAGCTTGAAGTGGCAGAGATGATTCCACCGTTTCATTCTCAAGTGGGCAGACTCACCCTGATATCACCGTATTTCAGTTTGAAAACAACCATGAAAAAAAGAACAATCCCATGGTGCTGTAGCTGTGTTTACACACTATATTTTCAACATTTGTAGTTTTAGTCTTTCCTATGCACACAGTTATGTGGCTAAAATAACTGGAATTTCTCCCAGTCACATCTACGACAATTCCACTGCTCCCTGTCAAACATTCTTATTTGGGAATCACCAGTGTACATTGGGAAGCCCAACAGTGTCCAGTGCACATGAAAGTCTTATCTGTTTAAAAGAATACAGAAAGAGGGGTACAGCTGTTCCTATGAAGGCAGAAGAACTGCAATGAAGTTGCATTAAAAAGCTGTTGTGAAACTAATGATTAGTCAGTCTTTTTTCTACCATTGTGTTACAAAACAGTAACATTTAAGCTAGTAATTTATCACAAAATAAAATTTCACGTGGATATAGGACGGGCAATGTTGAGAATACAATATTCTGTTATTGCTTTAAAGGAAAGACAATACTGAAATAGAATGTGGATATAAAGTCAAAAGCAGACTTTAACAAAATAATATATTCACAATTTTAGCATACCCATCACTACAGCTAAAGAAAGATAAAACCTTACCTTCTACTGTGGTTACTTCCTTTTTCTTGTCAAGCACCAGTTGTTCAATCTCTTTCCTCAAATCCTCATGATTTAGGTTGCACGCATCAAAAGCATCACTCACAAATTCTGATACACCCGGGCTGGTTGAAATTTCTTCATCCTCCTTAAACAAAGTTTTAAACACGTCAGGAAGGGAATATATGCATATATTATTCTGGGTATATCTACTGTTACTTGTACATAGGGAATGGTATCAAGAGTTAAGTTACATGTTCAGATTCAGAAATTCAATATGGACTGAAAAAAACAGTGGGGCGTTCAAGGGATTGATTAAGGTGTTTAGTCTCATTGCAACTGGTAACAAGGAAAGAGATGGTCAAGCTGAGAAAAGTCAGCCTCAGCCCTATATTATTACCATTAATGTCACAAAGCAACTAACAGTATTTGTCACAGTATTAGATTTTTCAAAGCTAAGGGAGCTTTGAAAAGAGTGCTGGGATTTAGATATGAGAAAAACAAGAGTGCACCGTAGTTGGCAAGAATAAATCACTATAAGCAAATAACTGACCCAAAGAGTGATCAGCCAACACCCCTGCACTTACAATTTTAATCTTCTTTGAACCAAATATGATTCCCATACTGCAGAAATGGGCAACAAAGCCTCAAAGTGTACAAATATCAAATATGAATAAAATAAACTTGGGAGGGCCAAGGACAGTCCTATTCCCACTCCTGGAGGCTTCCAGGAATGGTCACAATTTCCTGACTTCAAAATGAAAAAAAAACCCAACCCAAACCAAAGTGCCTATCAGGTCACTTTGCGTTTTTAAATGACTACAAACAGCCATTTCTGGACCCACAGCAGTCTGTGGCAGGGACCAGTGGCAAGAACCCAGTCCCCAAGGTCTCTGAGATCACCACCCTGGTCTATTACATCTGTGGGACAGGAGGTAATAATGAAGCAATTATTTAAAAATATTTTGAATTTACAGCCTTTGGTGCTGTTTATCCTTTATATTTATGTATTAATCCTCAGCACAGAATAATCTTACCTCTTGAGATTTTAGCTGAGACTTGATTGCTACTGGTGGTGTCTTCGGTCTCACCGTTTCTAGTCGGGGAGGGGGGGGGAAGAATTGTAGATTTTTGAAGGTATTATCCTTCAGGAGTTAACAGAGTCTCTAACTATACAAAAACATTTACTATTCTTGAACCCACAAGGTACAGCAAGCCCTGATACCACTTCTCTCTTTGCATTTTAGGGAAGAATATTTACAGTTCTTGTTTTAACAAACAAACAAACAAAATCCATTTACATATGAACAGGAGAAATGGCTTCTTGGATATCAAGCTCAGATGGAAATGATTTGATGCCCTGGTTGTTTTCTAACTAACTGGATTATAAGAAATGCAGTTTTTTTTAATCTGGCCAAAATAGGAACGCACAACGTTCAAAAACATCAATTTCTTTTCAACTCTATCTACAGCTTTTTCTTCTGTCTCAGGATACTTTATTCACTTCCCAGAACTAGGTAAATTACTTCTGTGAAGAACATAATGCCTCTGACATATGTACGCACCTAACACATTTGCATCCTCAGTATAAATATTAACAATAGATTATAGAAACAGAAGGATGGTAAGCTTCTAGAAGATAGCTTGTGGAATCCCAAGAGTAGAATCTGAAAATATATAAGTTCAGCTTTATCAAGTCCATACTACCATTAATTAATATCATGTTTAAAGGTGGGAGTACAATTTTTTTGTAAATGACAGGTGCATTTTGGTTTTAGAAGAGACAATCTATTATACTGCTTAAAGTTTGTTTGAAAATTTATTTTTCCCTGCTAAATAGATGCACTTTATTAAAAGATGCAGCTCCAATAAGTGTGCAAGGGAATCCTTATTCTTCCATAAGAATTTCTGTTGTGCAATGTTAGAACTACTTTGTCTAGTTTGTGTTTGTTTTTTAACCAAATAAGAAAAGGTTCATCATCCCATAATGAAATGTGTGTTCCAGAGAAATCTTTACCTGCTAACTGTCCCTCTTCTTCACTGCTATTCTTGTCCTTTCTTACTGCTTGCTGTTGTGCTGCCAGTGCAGTGAGTTGTGCAGACTGTTTAATTAGGGAAACACGGTAAAAGTAATTCCTCCAGAACACCTCTTCTTTTACACTGAAGACAATAAATATTTGGTTTTGGTAAACACATCTCACAACATTGAAGACAAAAGTTTTATAACTGCTACAGTCTTTCCTTGACTGGGAACCGAATTCCTTTGTACTAGCAGTTTATGGCTACAATACAAAGTATTTGATTCCTAAGTTTAAATGCTTGTATCAGATTCTACTTGCTACCACTAATACCACATATCCTTATTGTGTTTATGGTTGGGAAATGTTTGTACATCCACACAAAAGTTATGTAGGATGTAATTCACAGTTCTTATTCTATTTCTTTAAAAAAAGGATGAACAGTATGAATTACCAATACCTCAGTACTGTGATACACATTATCAGGTATACATGGTAGTAAATGCTAGTGTGGGCACAAATTTCATTGGTGGTGAACTTGATGTAGCTACACTGCAAAATATACACACTTATACTCCATTACTTGGATAAAGTTCTAATGAACTCAAATGGAACTTTCTTCAGGATAATACTGTACAAAGTTGTGCTCTAGGTTTACAATAAATTATAATCTCTTCAGAACAAGCTTAAGAGTTTGTTGTCTTCAGAGGTAATATAATTTTTTTTTACTACAATAGGTATTGACAAATATTTAAATTTAGGCTGTGACTTAGACATATTTATGGCAATCTATAAATTAATTACTAAGTCACATTTTTATATATGTACACACAAGAACTGATAATGTTAGTGAAGGATGAGAATTAATACTGTAAAAATTAAACAGCCATTATCTAGGAGCCTCGTGGCACAGTGGTTAAACTGAAGTACTGCAATGAAGGCTCTGCTCACAACCTGAGCTCAATCCCAGGCTCAGATAGCTGGCTTGCAGTTGACTCAGCCTTCTATCCTTCCGAGACGGATAAACCGAGTACTCAACTCATGGAGGGGGTGGCAATGTGTAGCCTGCATAATTAAACTGTAAACCACCCAGAGAGAGCTTTAAGCTCTTTGGTGTGGAATATATAAGCAGCACATTTTGAGTTTTACTCAGAACCAAGTGATCATAAAAACAGTTAAATAGATAGTAGAAATACAAACAAGTCACTCACTGTTTCGGGACAAGATCGAATCTCATTCTATTTAGCACTTGGTCTTCCTGGAGCATCACCATTGCCACAGGAAACATCTGATCAAAGTCAAAATGAAACTGCACTCCTGCTGGTGGGTCACGCAGAAAGTTTCTTCTGTCCTTTGCAAAATGAAAATTAATTCTCTATCAGTTGGTGAAAAGATTATCACATCTTCCAAAAGTACTCCTGAGTCTACCACTTTGGAAAGGGAATTATATCAACAAGCAACTCTTATCACACACATGAAAAATATATTCTGTGGCAAAAATTAGTTTTGTATTGCCAGTTAATACATCTCCTTTAAAAACACATTTGTTGGTTGACACATTGTTTCATGTAAACACTATTTGAATTAGGTACATTTTCAAGAAAAATAAACAGATTATGCAAAGCAGATTACTTACTGCTGATAAGGCCAATATTTGTTGCTGAATTGTTTCTTCATCATTGCTGTCTACCCATGGAGGCACAGCTGTTTCTGTAAAAATAAAAGTTTAAAAAAAGGAATGTTTTTAAAATAATGCATTCAGTAATGACACAACCTGAGACATTGGCATTTATCACTGAGAAAGGCCCTAGCCAAAATCTGCTGAAAAAAAGTCAACTAGTAAGATATTTAATTATTTGCTCATTTTGAAGTTTGCATCAGAAATCAATACTTTTTGCCAGCCAATCAGAAATATTATGGTAGATCTGAAAAATAAAACAAACAGGGCTAGATGCCTGAGTGGAGCTTTGTCCTCTCTCCTAGTAAAGATAATGTAATTATTTTCAACAGTTTTCTCCTTGCTGTTGCTAGCCCCATTCTCTCTGAAAATTTGCTTTCAAGAATTGGCGGACATTCTGTAGGTGTAAAGGGGGACTGCTAGGAAGAGAGAAATTAACTAGCTCCTCTGTTCACACAAAGCCATACATATGCAGTCCATGAATTAAACCTCACAGGAAAACCTGTAACTTGTGAAACAATGTGATATTCTCTAGACATAAGTCAAAATTCAAATGGCAGTCCCAACTAGATCTACTGAATCTACAACGCCTTTGTAAAGTTTTACTTATTAGTTGACAACTAACTGAATGAGTAGGCATACTAAAATCAAGATCACTCACTCATTTTAGGTCATTGACTTTAATCCACCTGTACACAAGTACTAAACTGGTCTAGAGACAAGGTGCTACCTTTGTTAGTTTATTTATTACATCTATACCTTGTTTTCCCACCAAAAATAACAGTACTCAAGGTGGTTCACAAAGTTTTAAAAAGAAAAACAAACAAAACTGGCACTTAACTAAAACCTAATTAAAATCATATAAATCCACCCCAACTTTAAACCATAAAAAATAAGTACATTAAATTACAAAGGATACAGGTTAAAAACAACACAGCAAGGCAGATTAAAAAGTTCAGAATCTAACGGCTTATACAATTTAAGATATTAACATACCCCGTTTTACTCATATAAGGCATCTGGATGTCAACAGAATACCAGATTATAGTAGGCACTAGATTAAAACATTAATGAGCAAATATGAAAAATGAAAAGGTTTTACTAAATCTATATTCTGGCTAATGTAACAGTTGTAAAAACTATGTATTCTGTTTTGCAACAGGCCTAATGGATGTGAGCATTATTGCGGTTTCATTAACCATATTTAAACAATACCTGATTTCTTTGTGTGTTGCTGTTCAACAAATTTTTTCTGTTCCTTCTGAAAATCTCCTATAATCGTCTATTTAAAAAAAGAAGTAGTTGTAAATAGAAAAGAAGCAAACATGCCTAAAGTAGCATTTAAAAAATCAAAGAAAAATACCTTTCTGGTATTATATAATTTAGACATAATACAAATGCACAAAAGAAACTTTCAAGAATCTCAAAACCTAACTGATGATTACAATTAAATTTAAAATAGAATTTGTTTGGTCTCTAGCAGAACATTCTTAGCTTGTAAGATTTATCCACAGTACTGTATTTAAAAGATTCATCTAAACATCTGATTTCATGATGTAACTATACCTGCCTTTCATACAAGGAATTTCAGACTCTCTCTTGTGTGTGTTATGTCTTGTGAAGTCACAATGGAATTATAGCCACCCTAATAGGGCTTTCAAGGTAAGTGAGATACCTATGGAGTGGTTTTACCAGTTCCACTTCCCCAGTGTTTCCTCGGTTGAGTGGGGATTTGAACCCAGGCCTCCTAATTCCTAGTCCATCGCTCTATCTGTCTTCTACAACAAAATTATAGCTGAAATCCTGTTGTGCAGGGTCTGTCTGTGCAGCAGAAATGACATCATCAGCAGTGGCAGAGTGCTGCTGCTGAATGGCTTCCTTTTCTAATTTTGGGGTGAATGCAACTACTGTATATGTCTTAAGTGAGAGGTGATGTTGAAACAGCAATCCAGGTTACCTCAAACTGCTAAAGACTCTTCTCCCCCATTTCATGACCCCAACTGAGAATGCTGCTTTCTATCATCAATTTGTGAACATCCAATCAGAATCACCATACAGTTGCCAATTTTAGTGCTTGATCAAAAGCATCTTCCTTGATTGTAGTTGTAGAAAGGGTAGCTGTGTTAGTCTGTTTTGATTGTAGTTGTGGAAAGGGTAGCTGTGTTAGTCTGTGCAAGAAAATGGCACCACATTTTTGTCTTTTTTTACTCTTTAGAAGAAAATGCCACCACATTTTTGTCTTTTTTTACTCTTTATTTTTACTTTGTTTTCACCTATAATGCTTGCACAGACTAACATGGCTACCCCTTGTACAACTACTACCACTATGAAAGGCACTGGATTTCACCAAATAGAGCGGAGATCCTTCAATCACTTGAAATATTTGCCATGTTGTATCGCCTCCTTTGTCTGATGTAGACTTGTCCACAAAAACTCACATTAAATGGAGATCCTTCAATCACTTGAAATATTTCCCATGTTGTATCACCTCCTCTGTCTGATGTAGACTTTTCCACAAAAACTCACATTAAAAATATAAAAGTTAGTTTTTAAAGTACTACCACATTTTTGTCTTTTTTTACTCTTTATTTTTATTTTGTTTTCACCTATATTCCTTGATTATCTGACCTGGGGGAAAAGGTGGGTAGAGCACTTGAAGGATAGTATAACCTTTAAAGGAATGAGATGGAATAGATGCTCCCACCATTAAATCCTTGATTATCTGACCTGGGGGGAAAGGTGGGTAGAGCACTTGAAGGATAGTATAACCTGTAAAGGAATGATGAAATAGATGCTCCCACCATTAAAAAAAAAGTCAGAAAAACTTCCTGAGGATAAAGTGGTCTTCTCTTTCCAGTATCCTCAGCGAAACAAGGAATCCCTAATTGACACGGAAGGTCACATAGAAACTACAGATTTGGAACAGAAGTAACTTGGTTTACATTAGGAAAAAAAGTTGTTACTGCAAACCTCTCTAAATCAATTCTCTCCTTTATCTAAAAACTCTTTTTACTAATGTGATCACTTCTGTGTATTAACAGCAGCATCCAAGTGCCATACTCTGGCCAAAGAGAAATGATCATACGTTGGGTTAACACCTTACCAACAACATCACTTTCCTATATACAGGAATATAAGCAATTAAATCAGGAAGCTTGCCGATAACCGGTTTCCCATTTTGTCCATATCTGTAAACAGAAGGAAAAGCCCATGCAGAATAGATATATTCCCCAAAAGTTTGTTCTTGGCTAGATAAACAGATATAAAAATCCCAACTGGGCCTCATGTACTCATTGTTGGTAGGAAAAATATGACTGAACTTCTTTCTAAAAATGCAACATGGGGAACCTTAGTTGACAATTCTTTATGCAGCTATATAACCATAATAGCTAAAACATCCTCACTCTTGATTAGTGTCTCAAGCTGTGTCGCCTACGAAGCACCAATGTGTTTCTAATAGTTAGCTGTTAGTCTTCTATGGAACCTTCCAACAATGTAAATAAATGTTATTACTACAGCAGTGTGAAGGCAGATATATTTGGTGTTTCATTTTAGTGCAGGACAAACATTTATGTAGATAATGCCATGCTGCATGTTATCTCTCACATGGGATGGCTGTGCCTGTGAAACTGCACTCACAGGACTTCAGAGAAAGGGAAGAGATAAGATGTACAAGTAGAACTCTCCTATATGCTTCTGGTTTACCTAAATTATTTGTTACTAATTTATCAAAGGCTGAAATCGGTGGACAGGATACTGGTTAGTTCAACTGTCTGCAAGATTCCTGCACTCTTAACAATTGATCACGACTTCCCCCCCTTTTCTAAATAAAACAGCTTATTATAACACCTAACAGTGTTGATCCCATGGTGTCAGGAAGCAGAAAATGTAAGAGCAAACCTCAAGTTTTACAGTAAACTCACAACAGAGAAAAGTACCTTGTCAATTATATTTTCTATTTTTCCTTCTTCTACAGACTTCTTTATAGTTTGTGCCGTTTCAGCAACTGATTCAGATATCTTTTTTGTGGCTGTAGTGGCAAAACTGAAGAGATAACCTTTTGGAAATAAGATACCAATTCAGCTCAATATATATAATTTTTTAGAAACTAGCTTTTGTTAATGCATCTCAGATACGACATAGGAGTTTGAGGCTTTAAGACATTCATTTATGCAATGTTCCCAATTTCTGTGAAGTACATAATATCTATGCACAGCCTCTGGTGATTTTCCCTTTGCCTATTTCAGATTTCTATTTTTAGATCTAAAAATAGAAATATGTATCTGGAGAATGAGAGGACTCCTAAATGACACATTTTGCACAACAGATGGGCAGCACCCCAAACCAGTTCAATTAGAGGCAAAGCATTTGTAGCTGTTCTAAGACACATATTAAAAGTTTAAGAAATTCATACTGAGATGGCTCTTTCCTCCTATAACACTGGCCAACATTTTAACTGCATCACTGACAACCTAACCCACAGGTCAGTTAAAAACAGGATGCCTTGATTTTACGTGACAATCTTTATCACAGGAAGATTCAAGCTATAGTGGCTTTAAATATTTTATGAATCAGGTGGCTAACATATTCAGTAGTGCTTACTTTGAAATGGGCACAAAAAGAGCATAATTTAAAAGTATCATTAAATTGGAAATGCAATTAATATTTGGGCATTTTCTTAAGACAATTTGAGAAAATAGTTTTTTTCCCTTGGGCTCAAAGTTAAGAAGTACGACAAATCCAGGAGATCAATTTAATGCATCCTGGTATAAGATCAGATATGTGTATAGGCACAGTTAAGTTCAGAGACTCTTTAAAGTTTCACTATGTGTTGTATTAGATGGCACTTCAAATATGAGTCTGAAACTACTGAATTTAGATTTAAAAAAATAAGGGACACTGTTTTGTGGTACAAAAATTACTGAAGTCATTACAGTGGTGCCTCACTTGACGACGATAATCTGTTCTGTTCAAAGCGCTGTTAAGCGAAATCATCATCAAGCAAAAGAAAAAAACTCATTGAAATGCACTGAAAACCAGTCAATGCGTTCCAATGGGCGAAATACCTCATTGAGCAGCGAAGATCCTCCATAGGGCGGCCATTTTCCGATGCCTGTAAAGTGAAGAATCCGTCCTGAACACAGCGGGGAGCCATTTTGCACAGTGGGGAGCCATTTTGAAAACCCGACGATCAGCTGTTTTTGATCATCGTTAAGTGAAAAATCGGTTCCCAAAGCAGGGAACTGATTGTCGTCAAGCGGATTTTCCCCATTTAAACATCGTTTTGCGATTACTAAAACTCACTGTAAAGCGGATTCGTTGTGGAGCGGTGTAATCGTCAAGCAGGACACCACTGTATTTATGTGACAGCAATGTTATTTTTATGCATCCTCAAAGGACTGTTCAAGCAGAAACAAAAAACCCTAACTGAGCAAACCTAATAGCTAAATACTGCTAGTAATGTGCATTTATTGTAAGGTGTATTTAGTGAAGCTAGTCAGGTGAAAATGAGCACAACAATGGTTCCAATTATCACACAGCATACTGCAATTTAATCATGAGAACTATACTAAGTATGAACAATTTCTATCATCACATGAAGACATGCAGAAAGATGCTTTGAGGGAGGGAGTAGTAAGCAGAATTTATATTCTAATTTTGGAACAAGAGGAAAAAGAGACAGAAACAAAAGGTCTGAAATCAATTTGAGAAAATGATTTAAAGACAGAAACCAAAACAGAGGATTGGATAAAAATTTGGAGGAAGAGAGTTTTAAGATTAATGTCGGTAAGAATAAAGGAAGATTTTTTAAAAATTAGTTTAAGGTGGTATATGACTCCGGTGAAATTTAATATAATACATTCAGACTATTCTAAGGCTTGTTGGAAATGTGATGAAAAAATTGGCACGTATGATCATATGTGGTGTGAGTGTAAATGGATTCAGAAATTTTGGAAACTCATTTTTAAGGAAATATGTGATATATTTGGAAAAGATATTGAATTCAATTCTAAAATTGCTTTGTTGTCAATTTTTTATAAGATAGAACTTGATTATTGTTCAAAGGAATTGATTTCCAATGTTATGACAAGTGCTAGAATATTAATAGCTAGACTCTGGAAACATAAAAATGATATTAAATTTGAAGATTGGTATAATGAAGTATGGGACATTGCATTAAATGATAAATTGACCAATGAACTTAAGATGAAAAGAGGGGAAATAAGTTCAAATATTTTTATGCTATTTGGGGTAGATTTGCTGAATTTGTATTAGTGAAAGGAAAGGGAAAGCCTCTAAATAACAATCAATACAATTTTGGAAAGTAAGTTTGTATTAAAAATATTGTTCCAAGGGGTCCCGTGGGTATAGGGTGTACGGTGGTTTAGATTGTAGAGTAAGTATTTTGTATTTTTGTATTTGTTTGAAAATTTATATACTTCAACTATACTTTTCCATTAAGATTTACTTATGTAGCATCTCAATAGCATTTTCACACACATACACAGTGTCTATGAACTCCTGTGTGAAAGCAGCTGCACCACAAAGTTCAGTATCCATGCACTCATTCTTGATGCTGAAATATGGCAATGATTATTATAGTATGAAACCAATTATGCATCGGTCTTGGAAAAACATATAAAACTAGCATTCACAGCCAAGTAGTATAGGATGACAGTGTTCCAGGGGACAGCAGCTGCAGTCCTCTTGCATGGCTCCACATGTGCAACAGAAATGATGGCATCAGCAGTGACAATTTGCTGCTGATTAAAGGCCTTTGGCAATTCCATAACATTCTATAAGAATAATGGGCATCCCAAAATCACCAAAATAAGCCTTTAATCAGCAGCCATTTATACTGGATGTAATTCCTACTACGCACGTGAAGATGCATAACAGGATTTCAGCCAGCTGCTATCTTACATAGACAAGTCAGGTAAAATCATGAGTTTCACTTGTAAAACTGTGTTCTGCTTAGAAAAAGACTCACAAAAGGAAGCAGTCAGCACTTAGCATTGAGATAAACAATATTTTCTTATTCCTGCCTACACAATTATTTTAACATTCTTCAGATAAGAAAATGCTGGTGGTAGGAAGACATATTCTTCAAATATTTAATTTCTTACCAGCCAGTAACATGAGCATCCTATCAGACAAAAAGAAAATTAAAACTAAACAAAAATACATGAAACGATGGATACTGAAAGCTCAATATGGTTGTATTTTAACTGTTTTGAGTATTGGAATACTATAGAGCACATTATTATTGTTATTATTGTTATTATTGTTATTATTGTTATTATTGTTATTATTATTATTATATCTTCTTCATCATCATCATCATAATCATCAAGACAACACGATCTGGAGTTGAGTCTCAGGTGCTAACCTAGTTCACTGCAGCAATATATATTGTGGTCCGGCACACATTTCCATATTTCTGTCTAAAGTTGTCCTTTCAACCCTAACAGTTTGAAATAAACTGGGCTAGATTCATGAAAACTCAGACCAAGCTACTATAATACAGGGAAACCACAAACAATTGAAGACAACTGCTTTGTCTGGGAGGGCACAAGCTACTTAAATCCTTTCCTTCCTTCTTTCTGTTTTAAATTTTGCAAAGTCTGCTACAAAGCAGTTCAAGAAATATCATGATAGGCACTGGAAAGGAGTAAATAAGTTCTGATCACATAATTATGTTGCCTCCTCTTGAATAAAGTATCCAGCAAAATGGAATTCAGAAGTTTTATTTTTAAAAATTTTGCCCAGCCCAGTGAAACCACAGATAGACCATCCTACTAACTCTGAGCAGAGATGTCAAAAAATAAAAAAAAATGGTAACGTGTCTGTTTTAGACAAACAACAACACAGGGACATTTCATTAGTTTAGCTAGCATAACTGAAGTAAAGCCAAGATGTAACTTTCAAGGGGCACCATGGCAAAGAGGCAATTACAACCTCTTATGCCCAAAATTCATGCAAGTGGGTCACAAACAGGTCCCGCAGAATCCCACTTGGGGGGGGGGTCTTACTCCCAAAGCAGAGATTTCTAGGATTGCTCTACGGGCTGTGTAACCCATAACCGACTGCATCTAAGTCAACAACGGGCTAATGGACACGCTCTACAATCCAAGATTGCACTCGTGTGGGTCTCCGCTTCCCTGAACTGCTTGGGCACACAGTCCGGCAAGCTTGGATGTGCGGAAGTTCATACTGGCTTGAGAGAATCGACCGCAGCGCTAAATGCCACGACGATCGCAGTTTTCAGGAAGGCCAGGCAGAAAGTTAAAGGGGCTTTTTTATAGGAGCCGGGGAAGTACAGATCCACTGTACCTACTCCTCTGCCGCCAGTGAAGACTTAAAGGCAATTTGGAAACAGTTTGGAAGCCGCCTAGAGTGGTCGCAATTGACCAGATAGGCGGGGTATAAATGGAATAAATAAATAAATAAAAATAAACAAGAAAAGATGGTTGGGAAGCGGGCCTCGGGGGGGGGGCGGAGAGAGGAGGAGGAGGGACGGAGAGAGGGAGACACTCACTGCCCAGTCCCTTGGCCTGGTTGAGGAGCGGGTCCGAGTCCGAGTCCACCTGCACTTCCACCTGGTCCTCGCATCGCTCCGAGGGGTCGCCTGGAGGCGCCTCTGCCTCCGCCTGGGCTCCGTTTTTCCCTTCGAGCAAAGGGGGCAGCTCTATTTGGATTCTATTGATTTTTTTAACTGGCTACATCACCTAAAATGAATCTCTAGCTTTGCTAATAAAAAACCTGCCATGCTTATCTTCTATTCTCTAAAAACGGAATTATGTGTTTTGCTTAAGGCTGAAAATAGATCCCGATTACAGCTGAAATTTATACTTCTTAAAAATGGTGAATGAGTCATTGTGTGGTTTTTTGTCCCAGTGATTCTATGTGTAATTTGAAATCTTCATAGCACCTAGGAGACTCTGATCTGATCAACAGTGCAATCCAGTGCATGACTCTTCACACGTAATGTTTGGCGCCCTCGTGCGTCGTCGTTCGGAAGCGCGCGTCCCCCTCTTCGCTGCCGCAACGTCCAAGGTTGTGCATTTTAGAGGGGGAAAAAATAGGATGCTTTTTAAACGACCTGAAAATACATTTTTATCTTAGAGAAAAATACCACGCTTAACTATAAATGTTTTAGGGTGTCCTTAGTCCACACAGGACGTTTTCAGCAAGTAAACGTTCTGCAGCTCCTAAAAAGACTGAATGTACTGTACTGTATTGTATTTGTCATGTGTACTCTTTGATGGAGGAAATCCATAATGGAGTAAATCATTCTGCATGCAGCAGACTAATTGGGCTCTGAGCCCATACAAAAAGATCTTAATGTAATCTAGGGTACAATCCAGTCAAATTTACAATACTTTTCTTTTCTGCCCCTTCCACTGAAAGAGTTACTTTCATGCTGTTAGATATTAACAGCACTGAGGAATAAAATACATAATATCTGGGAATCATCTGATATACTGTACACTTGTTTGTAATTGTACAGAAATGTTATAATTGTGTTTGAGAGGCCATGGGAGATAACAGAGAGTACCGCATTTGACTAGACTGTTAAAATTACTAGACGCCTGCTAATTATCTCACCCATTCTTCTGTAATTGTAAAACAGGAATATCACAG